ATAGTATATGCTGTTATATTAGCTCCTCCCATATGTCGCTATGAGTAACACCGTTAGCGCGCGAAGCGCGGCGGGCAGTCTTACGCGCGTAAGACAGCCCGATGCATGCTTATTCGCGGATCTTTGTAAATTAAAATCTCAGTAACTATTGCGAATCTAGCAAAATGGTATAGAACTTTTCACCTCAGTTTTATTCCTTCTACCTGCCTACGAGAGATGTTAAACCAATTCTGGGACACCCTGTATATATAATAGAACGTTTCAGCATAACATCCTGCAAAAAGTGGCTCGTTTGATCTTATTCATTTCTTAGTTATTACTTCAGAGCCTTAAATTTCTTGATTAATTGTTGATTCACGCTGGTCTCAAATGCGTTATTAGTTTATCAATGTCCATCTTTGATATATTTACGAGTGTTGCGAAGAATGTCTCCAAGTGCCTTGGTAGCCTAACAGGGAAGGCGACGGCCCGGAAAGCCGGTGATTTCAGGTTCGACTTCTGGCTGAGGAGTATTTTTTCGCAATATTTTAAAATTAGTTCTGGGGGTATTCGGGGTCTTTCATACATGAGATGCAAGTATAGCATACTGTATGATTTTAAGAATTGAAATTTCAATTAAAAAAACACACGTGTAAAAATTTACATGTGAACATATATATATGTATACATATATATAAAAGAACATTTCAGCATAACATCCTGCGAAGTGGCTCGTTTGACCTTATTTATTTCTTAGTTATTTCTAAAATAAATACTGTTTAAAAGCAAATATACATTCCATCTTGGAGAGATTTGATGAATTATGTAAAAGAAAGGAAAATTGATCCANAATATGTATGTGATTATTGTGCTCAAAAAGTTTGCAATGGTGTCATGCCTGCGTATTGTATTTTAAATAATCTTTTCGTAGACAACGTGCCTGAGGTAATATCGTCTCTTAATTCGTTTGAAACCATTCTTGTACAAAGAGCTAAAGCATTTCAGACTGTTGTTAAAATGGGAGCTGTTATAAACAAACATTTGCCACAACGGCAAATAATACAAAAAGTCAAAGGTAGAACGTTTCATTTACCACTCCCTTTACAAAAAACTTTAAATAAAATATGTTCTACTACTGATCCAATTAGCATAAACTATGAATTGTATCTTTTGGTAAGAAGTATACCAAAATCGAAAATGGCTAAAAACAAATAATCTTTTATATTCTGAAATTATTTTGCCGAATACTCATGAAGAACTGTGTTTAAACAAATTAAATATTAAATTTCAATTGCAAAAAACAGAACCTGATGCACAAACCACACTTGATGAACACGAATTATTAAATAAATCAACATCTAAAATGAAAGAAACAGAAAATAATGCAGATGATAAAATGGCAGAACATCGTGAAGCATTGTTAACACAAGTTACAAATGAGAATGATAGTTATTATGAGCAATATATTATTTATCCTTTATACAAAAAAAAATTAAATAAAACTACGACAGCCTTGTTTCAAATGTAAAAAGTTCATGATTTACCCTTAGATAATCGTGAGAAATTATTGGATTTAATGTGTTTTCCAGATTTATTTCCCTGTGGTATTAACGGACAACATGAAGATAAAAAAGTAAAACTTTATGATCATGAATTTATTAAATGTCGATTGATGATTAAACATCCACAGTTTAGATTGAGTCTACAATATTTATTTTATTTATTAAACAATGCAAATATTTGTCAGTTAAGTCGCGGAATTTATCACAAAATAATTTAACAAACTTACGATTTCGTTACACTGCTGCAGAATATTTAGAAGCAATGTCAAAAGAACTGTTAGAATCTAACTTGAGTACAATATTTACTACATTAAAAAATACGGACCAATATTGGAGAAGACCAAGAAGTGACTTNAATTGCATGACGCAACATTACGGACCGGCGACGTGGTTTTTAACGTTAAGTCCGAGCGAATGGTTATAGGATGATTTAGGAGATTATATACGTGAGGTAAATGGATGGCATAATTCTTTGTTAAGTACTAGCGTACTCGTTGCAAAAGATCCTGTCTCAACATCAAGATTTCTCAATAATAAATTTAAAGCAATGCTTGACTTTATATGTTCTAAAGATCATCCGATCGGAGAAGTAACTCATTATTTCTGGCGGCGAGAATATCAAGGTAGAGGTTTACAACATTCCCACTTATTAATTCGAATTAAAAATGCACCGATTATTGGAAAATCTTTTACTGAAGAAGTTTCTACCTTTATTTTACGACATATAAGCTGCAAACTGCCAAATAAAAATATTTCACCGTTATTATATAAACGTGTTAATACGCATCAGACGCATAAACATAACGATTATTGTCTGCGTTCTAAGAAGGTAGAACGTAAAGTTGTACGTATACGTCGATTTGGATTTCCTCGTCCTGTTACTGAAGCATTNACAATAAGAGATGTCGCAAGTTCGATAACAGGTAGAAAGCAATTAATACATAGAAGTAGGCTTTACGATCTTCCTCAAAGACAAAATGAAAACGATATAAATGATTATAACATAATCCTGTTCTTCTTACTGCTTGGGAAGGAAATATGGATATACAATTTATTGGTGAGAAATCAACATTACTTACATGGTACGTCACTAAGTACATGAATAAAGCGAGAATATGTAAATTATCCGATTGCATTACCAATAGTAAGAATGACCAAAACAAATCAGTGGGAAGTTATCTTTGGAATATTGTATTGCGATTTACGCACAACAGAAAATGTGGAGCTCTCGAAGCTGCTGATACATTATTAGGTATTCCTTTATCGGAACTGATCGAAATACGACTATTAGATGGCTAGATGTTAATCAAATTAGATATAGAAAATTAAAGACTCGTAAAGAGATTGAAAATCTTGATAAANAATCTACGGATATATTTTGTCCGTCTTTGATAAATACTTATCCAATAAGACCGAAAGAATTAGAAATTGTGTCTCTTTATGAATTTGCAAAGTGCTATGATATCACGAAGATTAAACCNAAAAGTAAGTATGTCGTATATTACAAAATAGGTAAAGGTCTATACCTTAAAGAACAAAAGCGTGAATATCTTAGTAATCATTATAAATACGATGTGAATACACAACCGGAGAATTATTTCTTTTCATTATTACTCATGTTTAAACCATAACAAAAATTAGAAGATCTTAAAAACAGATGTGATAATTATACAGAATCATTTCACAAAATAAAATTACATCTTCTAGAAGCATTACAATATCATGAAAAAATAGAGAAATTGCAAAAAGCGTTTGAAACTGCAAAACAGTTAGTTCAGGAATATCTAGACAACAAATTAAACAAACAGAATATATCGCTAGAGGGAAATCTAATAGGTATTCAAAATATAGAAGCTAGTGAAGCAATGCAAGATTTCAAAGATCTTGGTGAGAAAATAGATAAAGATGTCGATGTATGTGATATGATAGCAAAATTAAATCTAGATCAAAAACGTGTGTTTGATACAGTCGTTGCAACTGTCCATTCAGATAAATCACCATTACGATTATTCGTTAGCGGAGAAGGTGGTACAGGAAAAAATTTCTTAATTAAACTATTAAATGTTGGATAACACAAAATCTTAACAAAGATACTGCGATAGCAGTTCCTACTGGTATTGCAGCGTTTAGTGTAAATGGTTTGACAGTTCATAGATTACTTCAATTGCCTGTTGAACACGGTTTTATTTCTAAATATAAACAATTATCTGATCATGTATTAAAAGTTTTACGAGCAGATCTCGAAGATGTTATTTTGATTATAATTGATGAAGTGTCAATGATATCTAATTTGACTTTAATGTACATACATCTTCGATTGTGTCAAATATTCGATACTATTAATTCTGATGACGGTTAATTTGGTGGAAAACACATTCTTCTATTTGGAGATTTGCTTCAATTACCTCCTGTAAACGATGATCCTGTTTTTGTGAGTCTATCAAAAGAAAAAATTAATAAATATCTCGGGTTGTTGGAGGCCACTAACTTGTGGACTACATTATTTGACTATGATGAATTAACAATCAATATGCGGCAGCAAGGAGATGAATCTTATCGTGAGTTACTATCGAGAATTCGTATTGGATTAGTGACTCAGTCTGATTGTAAAATGCTTCAAACTAGAATATTAGATTTTAAAGGTCTATCTATGGAATCTAGATTGAACGAAGTGTGTAATTTTATTAATGATTTTCCGACAGATACCGTATGTTTACTGCCTACTTGTCACATGTGTGACGTTCTCAATGCGGCAATGCTAAATCAAAGTGCTAATGAAAAAATAGTATTAAGTGTGGAAAATAAAGTAAAGTGTAATCGCTATGTAAAAAAGAAAGTTGTAAAAACATTGTCAAGTCATGAAGATGATACTTCAAGAACAGCCGGACTTGCGAAAAAAATTATTATTAAAATTAGAGCAAAAGTTATGATAAGACGTAACATTGATGCTAGCAAAGGCCTTGTAAACGGTATAATAGGTAAAGTGATTTCCGTTGTTAAAGATGTATGGAATAATACTATAGAAAAAATAAATCTTTTTTTGCCGTCAGGTGAAGAATTTTTAATTGAGAGAGTGTCAAATTTCCCGTCATGGAAAGAATATATGTCATTAGAAAACAATTTCCATTGTGTCTGAGTTATGGAATCACTATCCACAAAAGCCAAGGATTGAGTTTGCATAACGCTATTATGGATGTAGATAATTCTGTATTCAGTCCTGGTCAANTTTATGTTGCAATGTCTCGAGTAACGACTTTAGAAAGATTTTATTTAATTAATTATGATGTTTCATCTGTAAAAGCTAGTGAAGAAGCTATTATTGAGTACAATAGGTTAAAAAAAATACATAAAACTGAAACACAAATGATTCTTGTTTCAAAACAAAAGATTCCTAAGGTTAAAGATAATAATCCATGGACTTCATCAAAAGTAAATGCTTCTGTACAACCACAAGATCCACAACAAAATGTTCAGAAAAGTACCGGTTGGATTATTCGTGGTTTTCAAAACATAGATTAAGTTTCATTCTATGCAAATGCAATAATGCAATGTCTTTTGCACTTAAGTATCATTAGAAAACAAATATTTAATTATGATAAAGAAAAAGCTTTATTTGTATTAATGCATCAATATAAAAATAAAATGCCTAACTTAAATACATATAGAATACGACAATATTTAGGAGATAAATTTTCGAATAATGTAAAACGTGATGCATCTGAATTTCTTTTGGCTCTTTGCGCAAAATTTGATTTTATAAAAAATGTAGTCGAGCATGAAGTAACTTCTACTACACGATGCAGAAATTGTAACTATACAAATACAGTTATATCAAATAATATTTTAATTTCAATTCCTGTTATTAATTTAGAGGAAAAGAGTTATGATCTTAACGATTTATTAAGTTGTATTTTTCCTCATTGGTGTGAATCTATTAGCGATTTATTATGCAACACTTGTAGAAAGAATGATAAGATATTTAAAAGAGAATTAACGTTGACAAAAGAAATACTTATCATTCATTTTCTATTATTTTCAGAAAATGGTAAAGTAATACCATCTAAACTAAATATACATGCTGTACCAACGACTAAAGTGTCAATAAATGGACAGCTATATAAAGTAATAAAAGCCATATTTAATAATGGACTGTGTATTGAAAACAATCATTATACAAGTATGTGTAGAGAAGGAAAATCTAGCTGGCTTGGAATTGATGATATGCAAATTAGAAAACAACACTGGCCAAAATATACTACATATGTTTTTATTCTTTTCTTGGAAAAAATAAGTAAATAAATGTGTTACTATATATTGGTGAGATTAAATTTATTTACTATATATGTGCATATAAAAATTTCAGTTCACTATTTGAGNTGCAGCCGCGCCAAGTTTTTTTGTATTGAATGTTTTTTATTTTGACAAACTTTTTACTTTTTCTTTTTTTTGTTTTTCACGAAAAGTAAAGTTTTGCTAGGTCTACTTGTTAGTTTTCCTACGAATCCTTTTGTTAATTTAATAGGCCCAGACAATTCTTTCTTTCAAAATTCTTCCCGTAACGAAAACTTAACAAAGTATGTATGTATACTTAGATTAGGATAATAATGTACAAGAGTAACGTACAAAATTTACTTGGTGCTACTTTGTGATATCACTTTTTTTGTAAAACAGGTTTTTAGAGAAAGAATGTTTTGTAGTATATAAATGTTGTAAAACAGGTTTTATAGAAGAAGAAGTTTTTGGAGTATAAATAAAAAATAATTTAATTTAAATACAATACGTGTGCGTGTACTTGGCGCCTGTTTTTACCTTTTTTTAAAAAGGTAAGTTTTTAGAGTATCACACCCTTTATATTTTATGGTTGTTTTAGTTTCTCTAAAAAAAGAATATAAACATTTGTACTTTTTGTATATACATTATTATAGTATAATAAACTAAAAACTTTAATATACATAAGTTTATTTGGTTGTATGTACGTGCGTGTGAGATAGATGATGCACTATTTTTTTCTTCGAATTCTTTTTTTTTCCATTGTTTTTTTATTCTGTTTTTTCTTAACAATAGTAACACAATTATTAATTTTTTCTAAGATACTCATTTTTTTTATAAATACAATATTGACTTTATATTTAAACTGAATATATCTAACTAGTATTTATATGTAGGTATATATATATTTTTATTACTCGGCCCTGCCGTTTTTCCTCTAGAACCTAAAACTATCCAGATCTTCTACTGTCGGTAAATCGGTATTTACGTTAAAATCGGTGCTTCGAGAGTCAAAGTTCGGGAATAAAGTTAGTATCACCATTTTGTTGTAACTAACATCATCAAAAAACCACTGTTCCGAGCGAGTTACCATTACTTATGAGTTACCACCGTAACCTTTACACCAACGTCGACAAGTTATCACCCTTAAGTTGCAACCACATAACATCACAGTTAGTTGCAAAATTAATAATTAACAAAAGAGATAGAGAAAAACGGTTTGCGCTATAATTCTCAACACATTAAACTGCGAAATACCAGCCCGGTTTGAACATTCTAGGTTTTGTTTGTAATAATTGAATGTTTAAATAATAAAAATTAATTAATTTTTATTATGTGGTATTTTGCATCTATCTAATACAAAACGAGATCCAAAAACTATTTTGCTCTAACTTGTACCATTCTCAAAATATTCAATTTGTTAACTTTCACTCTTTGTCATAAATCGCAGAGCCGATTGAAGGTACCTGCAAAATTAGTTTCAAGCTATCTCTTCTGGTTCTTGAAATATCCGCGATTTGCAAAAAGAGCTATGTATCGTTAAATGTAGAATATTAAAATAAGTCAAATGCGTATATTCGTTATTTATAAGCTTTATTGTAAAACCGCGTTTTCGGGAACTTTCCAATCACCAAATTAACATAGGTTGTAAAATAATAGAAAGATAATCTTTGTTGTGCGTGATTCGTCGCGCGAAGACTTGACGCAAGGCACTACCGTGCTTCTTGACGTTTCTCTCTTTCTCTAACTTTCTTCTTAGAACGTGTTTGGTAAACAACACCATTTGGTAGCACAAATGTGAACATACACATTCCTGAGTGTTTCACGACGACAAAAACGTTTTTTAATCGTGATTTACACGTCTATTTTTCATCTTACTCATTATCTTTGTTCAGAAGCCACAAACACACAAAACGCAAGAATACTTTTTTTGTAATGTTTAATTTCGAAGCAAATGAAACTAAAACACACTTAATCAGTTCAATCGTTCTTGAAAAATAGTTTTGTAAAAAATTTTCCATTCTCTCATTTACTGAATTTCGCGTATATAATAGCGTTTTTCACTGGGCCGCACTGAGTGCGCACCAAAAACTCGCCCAGTGGCAGCAGCACTGTACGAGGTTGCCGGAAGTTGCACTCCCAGCTAAACACAAGCTACAGTTCTAGTGCCATATTTTTTGTTAGCAACAGTCATATCACGTTGAAAGTACCAGTTCTCGTCTGTCGCAATATTTTTGTGGGTATTTACCTGGAAGGATGGAAGAAACAGAAGAATTAAGCATTTGCTTCAAAGTCAACAACTACATGTTTTCGTTAAAGCTTCAACCAAGTGAGACAGAATTGTACAATAAATTAATGAGTAAGTAAATTATAGAACTTGCCTGATCTTGGGATTTTAAGGTTATTCCCGTGTGGATTGTCGACAATAAAGATGTACATAAGTTTTGGATACTATACTAAGTACTCGAAAAACTTGAATTAATACAATGCATAGTGTAAACTTGTGAAGAAATTTTTTGCACATTCAAAAGTATAAAATAATAATTGTTTTATTTGAACGGCTACATTCTGTATGTAACATTTAATTACTGTACTTCTATTTTTAAATAAGTTCTACGTTACATGCATAATCCTTAATTCCAACTAAAAAGAATTTTAAAAACTTTCAAGTTTTTTTGATATTCAGAAATATACATAAAATAATATTATCTGATTCCTTTGCTAAATAATTTCAGATAATGATATTTACACCATGCAATATATAAAACTTCGGATTAAAAACGGATTGTTTGTCCTAAATGATTCGCAGAAAATTCGAGAAATATTTTGAGTACTTGAAGACGAGTAAGTAGAATAATAGGGAAGAAAGCATAGGCCAATACGAGGTAATACATTGGATGGTCGTGAAAAAATTGTTTATCATGTATTTACTAAATCAAACGTTTCGACCATAAACTTGGTCTTCATCAGTGATGACAAATCTGTTGAAAAAATAACAAAAACATAATGGCTTGCCATACCGATACAATTAAAATATAATAGAAGTACAGAAATGCCGACTTACCAGTGAAAACATAGAAAAAAACACAGAAAAAGAGCGTCAACCTAGTAACTAGTCGAAGCAATAATATCCCTCCAACATAATGTCTTCAAAACAATGAAAAAGAACGTGTAAAAATTTCACTCACTATTTGATAAAAAAATTTTAATTTTAATCAAATTAATGTAATAAGAATATGAACAAATAAACAAACAAATGAAAAAGAAAATTAAAATTAAAATGATCAATTACTCGTCACGCTGGGAAACAATATAAATATAACCGTCAACCGATAAATTGAAAACATCACTAATACTCGTTTCTTCACATTACAGTCAATATATACAAAAATTCCTCCCTCCCTTTCATAACTTCGGTAACATATGTTCATGTCGCAAAACAAGAAAGCACATTTAAACCTTTAACGTTTCCAGAAAGGCAAAATAAGAAGTTAACTTTTCAGTATCCAACATGACGTTCAACGAATTATGCTGCAGTTTGATGTGGATCATTTCTGAAATTAATCTTTTGTTGTAATGAGTTTCTTGGTCCAAAATACGTGTTTCGTCCCATTTAAAGTCATGATCGTAACGTAGTCTGTGTTCTGTTATCGCAGATGCTGTATTATACGCTCTGTTAATTTGGTTCCTGTGTTTAGAAATTCTCGTCTTTAATATTCTCTTCGTTTGTCCAACGTATGAAGCATCGCAGTTTGCACAATCAATCCGATACACCACGCACCTACTATTGTCATGTTCAATAGGATCTTTGTGTACCTTGATGTAATTATTTAGCTTATTAATGCTTCTAAAAGCCATTGCGACTTCACCTCTATTGCCCAACAATCTTTTTAAAGAATTCGAAAATTTTTTAACATAAGGCACCACAAAGTAAGAAAGGCACCTCGCTTTGTCTTGAAAAGATAATTCATTACCAACAGTTTTTTTGGAAGCTATTGTTCGGTTGTTGATCAAGTGTTCTATTCTATTGTTAATGATGTTAAAGATGAAATGTATTGGATAACACAGCCACACAAAAAAAAAATTTCTTTGGCCTGGGGATCAGACCATGTTTATTATATGTTTTTGGGGTCGCTGAATCCGAATCCGAGGTCTATTAAACCCTATCGGGTCGGGGTTCTAGCCCTTTTATTTTAGGAATCG